ATATACATATATATATATATATATATATACATATATATATACATATATATATATATATATACATATATATACATATATATACATATATATACATATATATATATACATATATATATATATGTAAGTCATGCACTCTGTCCTCTGTTCATTTGTCAGCTAATATGTCCTATGTTAAACTTCTTACCTCTTTCTCTCCAGCAGTCCTAAAAATGATAATCTTATCATTGATTGGAATGCAACTTTCTGGTTTATCACAATTGTCAAATATAGCTTATTAATATTCTATGCTTTATCATTCTTCTTTTTTATCTAAATCTTGTTGTGAAAAGAAGACCAACAGAAGAAGCAAAGAGGAAAGAACACTTTTCTCCTGAACTCGGAATCTAATAGTGCACAAAGTAAGCAGTAATTTCAACAAACCAGGTTAGCAACTTGAAGAGACAGACCAGAGTAGCAAGTCTAGAACAACAAAAACTGAACCCGAAGACATAGGAAATAACATTCAATCACTGACGAAATCAGAATCCTCAAAGCTGGCCGTGAGCCCATCAGGAGTTACAATTCCTACACGAATGGGTGATGGAGGACATGGAGGAGGAGGAGAAAGAGGCGGCTTCCACACTGAAGCAGAAAGCAACCTTCTTGACTTCCATCCCAACGCCAGCTTGTTACTGCCATCCTCCTCCACGCTGTACCCGTCGTTGAACAGCCCCAGAAGCAGCTTGGCCTGGCAGTGGTTGAAGCAGCTGATCCTAACTCTCCCAAAGCCCATGACAGCCATCCACTTCCCCCACCTACCGTCGGTTTCTTCTTCCTTGCTGTCTCGGTATGCCCTGCCGACCGCTCCGGCGATCCTCGGCGCGAGTATGACCCTCTCCACCATTCCCCTCGCCTTCCCTTGCATCGGAAACCCGGCCTCCAATGAGTCCCACACTGCCGAGTACCTGTGCAACTCCCCCATGAACCTCCTCACAAAGCTTCTCTCTTCAGACTGCTCCTGCTCCTCCTCCTCCACCAGCGTCACAACCTTCGCCCCGAGCTCCACCGCTCCCCGCAGGAATGAAGCCACCGACGACGCCGACCCACTCCGTGTGTTGTTCATGGTCGGGTGGAGCACGCAGTTCATCACCAACGTCTCGCCCTTCACCACCTTCACACCCGCGGGGCGGAACTGCTCGTCGGCGTCGAGGCGGCACTGTGAGAAGGAGAAAGGCTGCCCGACCGATGCCGCGAACGCCGCCAGAAGCCGCCCGGTCTCCCGCATGGCGCGGCTTCCTCCTCGTGTGACGGCGGTGATGCGCAGGTGCGGCGGCGGGGACCCGCCGGGGCGCGACACCAGCGCCTGCAACAGGGAGGCCCACTGTACTCCCTCGGCGATGTCGTAGTCGATTATGTGGATTCGGCGCTCGCCCAGGGTCTCTTCCAAGATCGCCTGGTTGGCCGTGAAGTGGCCGAACTTTATGTAAGGAGACATGTCTTGGAGCAGCTGGAACGCCGTGAGCACATCGGACGTGTGGTGGAGGAGGTGGCCGTCGCGGAATGAATTTCGGCCACCACAGTGAGCACTGGTGCTACCGTCGAGCAGGCCTTGTAAGGCATCGGTGAAATGCGCAGTCAGACGCTCTATGCTCGTCCCGCCGACGCCAGCGCCGGCACCGGCCTGCAACACCAACTCTTTGAGCCGAACCAATATCACCCGGGCTAGCTCCGGGCTCTTGTGCGGACCCGCAAGGGCTTCCGCCGCCGCCACCAGCAGGTGAACAAGCCGAAGGCCCTTCTCATCGCCGTCATGACTACCGCCGGCACCCACATCCTCCTCAGCAGGCGTGTCGGCACTTGTCGCCATGCTGCTTGGGCTCGAGTTGTAGGACGGAGTTTGGGACACGGACATGAGGCCGTCAGGGCTGTCAACGACGTCGGGGCACATCATGGACTCGATGAGCTCGTGGAAATCGTCTGCGACGGAGGAGAACGATCCCCAGTCCACGGCAGGGTTCCAGTCGTTCCAGGCACATATAAAGTCGTCGTCCATGGTGGTGGTGGTGGAGCTGCAGCCGGAGGGAGCTACTGCTTCCTCCATAGCCACTTCCATCACTGTTGTTTTGTCTACCTACGTGCGTCTCATGCTATGATCACTCGCCTCCTATATAGACATAGAATTGGGAAACCAGAACAAAGGAAAAGGGGGGAAGAGAAGAGATGGTGATGAGACTTTGTCGCCATTAATCGACAAATTTACTTGTGGGTTTAAATATTATAACACAATATTTTAAGCTGGTTTCAGTGACTGCTGCTTTTGTTGTGGTTGGGTTTGCAGACATTGGAAATTACTACACCCTAAGAAGATTAATTTAGAAAAAATGGGAATAAATTAGACAAATGAGACAAAAGAGGCTTTCCTTCCTACCACATCGTAATATTGGAACAGAGACCTAGCAATTCCACATAATTTCTTCTCTCGTTTCATCTCTGGTTTAGCCCTTTATACTTGTAGATGATCACAAAAAGCAAGTTCTTCTATAATGAGTAATTTTTCAACAGCGTTTCGTCTACTTCTCAGTGATTTCGATAGGAATCCATCACCATCAGCGAAAAGGCAAATGGTTTGATGATTCAACATGAACGTATAATATAATCCTACACATCCTTTGCCATGATGAGATCACTGGAGAGTACAAGAGGCTACCTGCTCTTCATAAATTTGTACTACCAATCGGTCTCCTTCATAAGTCTTTGGAGATCCTCTTAGTTTAAGCCTCCATGTAGGTCACCCTGAGAAAGGGGACTCTCAAACAAGTTGGACATGATCAGCACAGCGTAAGCAGCTCATTCTGCCGGCATTCTGAAATTGTTTAGATTTAACTCCCTCGTGAGGAACAGAGGTGGGCGTTTGGAATCAGAGAGACAAGGTGATATGATGGCAAGGGTCTGGATTGCCACCCAGTAAACTTGTTGATCCTTCATTATTGGTTCGCCTGCACCTGCATTGATTGTTCAAGTGGTCAATCTTTCGATTGGCTGTTGATCTGATGACTGCTCCAAGATTGTTGTCCAGCACATTGGACTGGGTCCTGAAACCCATTCTTAATGGAGATTCTTGTTGCCTCTTATTAGAATAAGGCCATGATGGTGTGCTGATCAGCAGCAACAACTTGACACTTCAATCCCGTTGTCATTCTCTGCCCGGTGTTAATTATTGTCCAGCGTTTCAACAAGACTGCCGAGAATTGTTTTCACTATTCCTTTCTACATTAGTAAAATAAACTAATTCATATTAGAAATAACACAGAATAATGTGGGGAGATTGGCTATAATAAACTACCATGCCAAAAGGAATTGGTATAGGAAATACTTTATGAATTGCATCTCAGAAAAATAAAATTGTTCTGATCAAAATAACGTCATATACTTTGTTCTTTGTGACGGGATAAGAGCCTTAAAAATAATAAAACATAATATAAGATATCAATTAGTCTAGTCAGTAAATACTTTGACGATTAATCAAAAAGCTTTAGGTTCCAACCATGGCTTCGTCACTTACCTTTTGTAAATAATAAAATAAAGTAAGGAACTATTGTGATGAATCAAATCTAGCAACAAGTTTCACTCGATCTATCCGTTCAAGTGCCTTGTTGTGATCTTGTCACTAATATTAAATTATTTTATCTTATCAAGAATCATTTTATATTAGCAATCGAGCTCTCTCATTCATGAAACAATTCACGAAACAATTCCTTGACTTCCTAGTGCAAAAAAAAAGTATTATAATATTGCCTTGATACAAAATGACTTAATCTAACCTCAGTGACTTAATCTAACCTCAGTGGCAGTATATATACTGTTAGGATTGATAAATATTTTTATGAGTCATTATATTTAAATTATTTAAAAAATTAGGTAAGGAGTAGGAATTCAAGTATAAATAAATAAATCCTTGGTGAAATGGATTTATTGGTGTAAATATGATATATGTCTTAATAATTTGATGAGAAAAACATAGAAGAAAACACTGTGTGCTCCTTGAGTTTTAGGTCCTCAAAGGACTGAGAAGAGAGTTCTTCGTATTTTATGTGAAAAACATATGAAAGAGATTTTGAATTTAGATTTGAGTTAACACAAGAGAGAGAGTGATTTCCTGTATTTATTTTTATATAATAAAAAAATTAATTTTCTCGATGGAGGTAGGCAAGGAGTGTCAAACTACAAAAATTTTCTATAAGTTTTTTGTTTACTCTTTATTTGTTGATTTTTCAAATTTCTCTTTTGATTTTGAAGTCTTCTCCCTCTAATAATTGATTATCTTCTTGTTCAATAAAACCTCACAAGCATATTGAAAGGCTAAGTAAGTAAACATGAAAACATAAGTAACGAAGATCAAGAGAGGATTGAAGTAAAATGTGTAAGTAATATTCATCTTTCAATTATCAATAATATTATCTATAATGTTATTAATAAATATTCCATTATAAGTATTTGGGAAAAGTTAGAAAAAAATTGTTTAGTTAAAAGATTGACTAAAAAATTATATCTGAAGTAAAAATTAAATGGTACTTTAAAGATAAACTACATGGATAAACGAGGGGGACAGAAACACTAGGTTTTACCATAACATCATCACTTGGTCCCATAAGTAAAATTATATTCACCCACTTAAGGTAAATAGCACTATCATTGAGCATCCTAAGACAATCATGCTCGAAGTTTTGTCATAACCTATAATTAAAGGATAATACTTCATTTGTAATGTAAATTATTAGATCCTTCCTAAAATTCTTTCTAATAGGATCATATCTCTTTTTGATAAGATTATATCCTTTGAGCAATTGACGTTTATTAAGAGTCACATTATCCATTCTAAAAATCTAAGGGGAAAAACCCTCTTGTGCTATCTAACTTATTCTTGAGAAGATATGATTGTCTATCCGGGAAGGTGAACAATGATGCTCTTTTGGCCTTTAATATTTCTCCTAAGTTTATCTCTTGAATTTTGGAATATGATGCCTCCCTCGATCGCTTGTTATATTAATGTAGATCAGTTTTCTTATTGTAAAGGTCAAAGGGATATTAGGCAAAGAGATCCCCTTATATATTTCTTAGTGGCTCAACTTCTTTCTCACTTTCTAAATCAAGTCGTTAATTTTGTATAATCTCAACCCTTTACATTTCAAAACAGATTCAAACTAACCCACTTGACGTTTACTAATGATATACTTTTATTCTTTAGGTCCAATAAGAAATCCTATCAAATCATTCCTAAGGTTTTCCAACATTACAAGACCTTACTAATTAGAAAATAAATATTTTAAAAATATAAAATTTACTTTTTCAAGATTATCCACAAAAAGGAAAAATTGAGCTTTATGTGTTTTTTAATATTAGAGAGGAAAAACTTCCTTTGAAGTATTTGGGAATCATGATATCCCTCGTAGAATGCTCAAAGATGTTGATTATTTTAATAATTAAATTCTTAATAAATTAAGTGAAGGGAATGGGACCCAACTTTTGTAAATAGGCATAATTACTCTTAATAATATTCTTTTACATTTTTTAAATGTCTTATGGATACCTAAATTCATCATCAATAATATTAAAAGTACAATTAGAAATTTTCTTTCAAAGATTAGATTTTTTATGAGATACATTTGATTTTGTAAAAAATTATTAGTAGACCTAAATCGGAGGGGGATTAGGTATTCATTACCCCAATATTACCAAAATTATTTTACAAGTGAAGTGAATCAGTCTTTTCTTAAATCAAGTTTCTTGCCTTTAGACTAAAGTTACTTTTGCTAAATATGAGTCTCATTATTCTTAGTAATTTTGGGTTCCTCCTAATTTTGGGTTCCTCTTAATTTCCTAATATTGCTAAATATGAGTCTTTTCTTAAATCAAGTTTCTTAGTCTTTTCTTAAATCAAGTTCCTCCTAATTTTGGGTGCAATTAGTATTGAAAACTGTATATCATGCATATGAATGCTCTTTCTTCTAGTTTTTCTCTTGTAATTAGCAATGATGACTTTATTAATGATCTAAATGATAATCACAATCTACCTATTAAACATAAACTTATTTTTGTTAACTATTTTATAAATCCTTAGGACTATAAATTATTTATCAATCTTGAGAACAATAAATTATCATCTTTTATATCTAATGGTAGTTGGAACATTAAACTACTAACTAAATTATTTGATTTATATAGTGTGAAATATATACTTGTGACACGGGAGTGCCTAATTTACTACAATTTGATCATATGAACCTTGATTATGATATGATATTTTTTTTTTTCGCCAATAATGATACCTCATAATCTTCAACTCAGCCCACTCAAATATGACAACTGATCAGTATATTCCATGCATAAAATTAAAGCTGTTTCAAGGTGCTTTTCTTCATGACCAAGGAATGCATTAAAGAAGTTGATTAGCAGTTGTAAATACTTAATTTCGAAATTCCCTATACATGAAGAGTTGTTTCATGCACTAGTACTTATTTTAGTGTTTAGGACTTAAAAAAGACTTTAGAAACTAATGATATTTTAACAAAAGCTCTCTTGGAGTGCTCCTATAAACTTTGTATCTCTTGGATGCGTTCTTAAGTTCTGTATCTTTGTTTAATTTTCACTAGGTGTGAACTTTCTGTATCCCATTGTGATTTTAAACTTGGTGGTGAGCTACTTTTCGTTTTTATCAAAGTTGTTTCGTTAGTTTGCTCATTTTCTATTCGACAAACTGTACTATCAATTTTTGAATATTCTACTACACCCTCCCATTCTGTATCACACTGATATCAACTTGACATGAGCATCTCTTCCTCCTCTAATATATATTGAATATTTGTCTAAAAGACAACCAATATTTGTCTAAAAGATAACCATCAATCAAGCTAACATATAAGTTCTCACCATCCTCTTCTAATATTTCCGGTAACAATTATATTCCTTAAAAGTTCCTTTGGAGTATTCATGATTTACCTCAACAATTCGATGTTGTTAGAAATTACTATATCATAGGCTTAATATATCTGATTTACTAAAGCATGAGATTTTTTTGCTGATCTTTCCTTCTTATTACTAATAACTTATTATCAATAACACTCATTTGAGAATCCTTATTTTCAATC